TTATCTAGTCCCTCTGCTCTCGCCGATCATTCAAGACTCCCAGCATCATAAAATCCAGCACAGCCCCACAGGCCTCAAAGAAACAGGCTTGGGGCTCGTGGCATTAGAAGCAACAACAAAAAATACCCATAATACAAAGATGTCAGAAAATACAAAACTGCATTTTATTGTGCAGATCTACAAAACTATAATTTAACAGTCTCATATAAATACCTACTGCATTCTATATACAACTACACTTATTGGCTCATTTATTCAAACATAAATAGATATAAAAATATTTTGTGGGTTTTCTTTTTTTTTTTGTATAAAACATGGGAAGTTGCACGTAATGTGATTCATGTGGAAGTCTGAGATGTTACAAGTACAGCTAGACATCAGTTTCACACATCCAAACCCAGCACTGTTTTCATTTCACCACTGTTCGGTAAAATTCTTCCAACACCAGGCATTCATCTGTCCAAGAGGGCTTTTAAGGGAGGAAGCTTGTCAGGGCCTTGTTTATCATTTTTTGTGCACTGTCCATGCCTCATGTCCTTGGTGCATAAGGGAAGAACCTGGCAGAAGAGAAACACATGGCTTTTTTAAAAAAGTGAATGATTTTAGTGCTGGAGTAAGGCGCAAGGCTGACTGCCTTGTGTGCTGATGGACTGCTTCTGCCTGTATCAGAAATGGAGGACAAGGTTCTCCCGCATGGCTCCACCAATGGGACTCCAGAGATTAGAGCAGTACAGCCTCCACAAATGATCTTTAATCTTAGCCTCTCTGCACAGTGCTGCTTTCTCTACAATGTTGAGCTGTTGCTAAAAGTATTTTCCAGCAGTGGTTCTCCTGATCTTGTACTGAAAACTGTTTAAGGACCATACTGTAAATCAGACTAAACCATTTCCATTTTTGTTTCTCAAAACACTACTTCCACCAAGATAGGCATCATAGACGGGTGGATACGGACGGAGTCAGATCTGGATGATCTCTGGAAAGTCACTTAACGTTTTCTGTGCCTCAGTTTCCCTACCTGAAAATGGAGGTAATGATATTCACCCTCCCTTTTCAAAATGCTTAGATATAAAAATGAATGGTAATAGGCAATAACTAAGTAGCAGTGTAAGGCATGCACAAAAGGAAGTGCTATGATTTTCCATTGATAGTGAAATTTGCACAGTGGTTGAATTTTTGGACCTACCTCCCCACACCTCTCTCTGCCACACGCACACAAATAGATGGGGTAATTTCTAGGTACTCCCTACCCTGGCTCGGGTATAGGGGCTGCTATTTTAATCTGAGCCCTATTTCTTACAGATCTCTGAGTCACCTTCTGCTCTGCATTACAGGTGTGTACTATAAGTTTATGGTTTCAAGAGTTCTAAAACATTTATTGCCTGAATATAAAATGGTTCAAAGTATTAGGAATATGTGGCTACAGAAACACAGTTTCAGTTTGTTGTTTAACTCTGCGTTAGGCCAAGCCATGGACACAGAGCCCTGTAAAGGAGCCAAAAGGCTTAGGCCACGTGGCTTACAGTTATTAGGCTATTTAATCAAGTTGTTCAGCCATGTTAAACTGTTTTTGAGCCATTTTAGTTTGAGCCCTGTTCCCTGCAGACCCCTGAGTCTCTCTCTGCTCTGTATTACAGGTACCTGTACTATCAGGATCAGAAGA